CTTCCCTTCGGCCGCGCGCCAACGCGCCGCAGCGCCGCCATGGCGCCCCCGCGAGTGGCCGCCTTGGAGCGGGCCGGGGCCTCGCTCCTCCTGGCCGCGGCGGCGCCGGCGTGCGCCGCCCAGCGCCAGGAGGCGGCGGAGCAGGGCCCCGCGCTGGGCGCATTTTGGACCGCGGCGCTGGGCTCCTACGCGCTGGCGCGCGCAGAAGGGGAAGATACACTCAGAGGAGGAAGAGGTACCCCCATACCTCTGCCCTCCCCTCGTTTTCATGTTTTGGGGCCTCCCTGGCCTCCGTCGTCGCCATTGCTGGATTCGCCACGAAATCCTGGTCAGAACGCACCCCGGGAGAGGTCCGGGGATTCGCGGCATCGGTACAATTTGGTTTCCCTGTGCACGCACCCTTGCCGCTCGTCCCTGAGACCCGGGCGTTGCATTTGCTCCACCCTGGGCGTTCTCGTTCTGTTCCGGGCCCAGGGGCCCGCACGGATCGATGCGGCTGGAATGCCGCAGGAAGATGGGGTCTCTTGAGGCCAGTGGTTCTTCCCGTCGAGGCTCTGCTGGTGGCCCTCGTAGCTCGGCTGGTGGCTCTCGAAATTCTGTTGGTGGCCATGGTGGGTCTGCAAGTGGTCCTCGAAGCCGTGCCTCTTGCCTTCGAAGCTCTACTGGTTGCCCTCGAAGCTCTCCTGGCGGCCCTCGAATTTCCGCTGGCGGCTTTCGAAAAGCCGGCATGGTGGGTGGCAAGGTGAGGAAGCCGTACGCGGCGTAGTCGTCGAAGCCGTTGTACTCGTCCTGGGGCAGGGCTCCTGTCGAGATGTTTCACGAGGCTGCGTTTTTGCCGGAACGCCGGGCCCCCGGGGTCGCCACGGTTCGAAATTTTGGTCAGAGCGCACCGCTGGAGAGGTCCAGGGAGCAGCGTCGGTGCTGCAGGCGGTGAAAGCGGTGGAAGCCCTTGTCGGAAAGTGGAACATATACATTACCAGTGGCGAGAAATCTATACACCAGGATCCCGTATACACCAGGATCCGCTTTCTTGTGCGAGTTCCAGTGCGGGGCCGTAGAGAACGTCGGTGTAGAGAGTCCGGTCCCTTACCTTGTCCTCCTCGTCCTCTTCCGGCCTGCTCTTCTTCCCCGGTGTCGTCCTCCTCGCGTGGGCCTCGTCCTCCTCGTGGGCGCCGTGGCTCCCCTCCTCGTCCTACTGCGGCGGCTTCTTGCCCCGCTCCGAGAGCCCACGAAACCTAGGCTTGGAGTAGCTTGGCAGTCCACGTTGCCGGGCCCCTCGTGCATCCAGCAGAAGTATCCAGAACAAGCGCCAACTCTCGTTGGTTCCAGATTTCTCTCGTGGGCTCCAGATTTTGTTTCAGAAAACCTGGAATCCGGAGTGGACCCTGGGCGTGTTCTCGGAGCTGTCTTCCGTAGAATTGTCGTACATCTGGACTGGGACGTGAGTTGTCCGCAGGACTGCTCAAGAAAACGCGTGGAGCGAAGCCCAATTACCTAGCTCAGAGTTTCCACAACTCTAACCAGGGGTGTAACGCAGTCGGTTGCGCTTTCTGTTCCCCCGCAGGCGCTGCTGCTCGGCTGGGCCGCCTGGCGGCTGCTGCGCGGCTGGCTCCGCCTCGCCGGCAATGCCGGCGACACCGCCGAGGCCTGGGCGGTGTCGCTGGCGGGGGAGCACCACACGGAGGGGGATCGAGGGTCGCAGAAGAGAGCCCTCGCAAAGGGCCTCTAGAAGCCAGGGCTCGTTTCTCTAGGCCTCTTAGATGGGGTCGGAGTGGATGGAGTCGGAGGATCGCGCCGCATGGGCGATGCATCGGCGATGCATCGGCGATGCATCGGCGATGCGGCTCGATGTGGGCCCGACTTTCTTCACGCCGACGTCGCCGATGCATCGCCGACGTTGCCATTGCCGATGTATCGGCGATGTAGCGAGATCCTTTGACCCCATCTACTCGGACCCCATCTAAGAGGCCTCTAGCTTCGATTCCTCCCATTCGATTCGATTCGACGTCGGTGGCGTCCGATTCCGATTCGATTCGACTTCGGATTCCGATTTGGGCTCCGATTTCTCAATGGAGGCCTACTAGCCTGCCGATTTTCGCCACTTCGGTTTCCCCTGACTCTGCTGCCAATTCCAGCTGACCCGATTTACATCGATCGCCGATCCGTCTTTTCGATTACAGTCAAAAACCCGAATAAGGACGCGCGACTTTGCTCAGGGTACCCTTGCGTCCTTGCTCTTCCTTGCTCTTGTGTCCTTGGGGTTTTCGTCGTCCGCCGCCCCAAAAATCCCAACTTCGGCTTCCAAGGGTCTTGCGTCCTTACCGCGCGTCCTTATCAGGGTTTTTGACTGTAGATCCTGGGCTCTCCCGAGAAGCTGCCTCCGCGGGCCCGGGAGGTGGTAGAAGCGAGCGCGTTCCTTCCCTGCCCATGGCAGCCCCGAGATCGCTGGGCAGGGGCGCGTCGACGGGCGAGGGACCAGCAGGAGCTGCAGGAGGAGGGGGGGAGGAGCACCCCATGCGCCCACCCCTCCCGCATTCTCGCCCTCCTGATCCGGGCTCCCACCCGTGAGCTTTCTTCTCCTCCTCCCGGCCGTCCTTGCCCGCGCCCGTGGCCCCTGCCGCTGGCACGCGCGGGCCGGCCGAGCAGGACCAGGACGCCACCCGAGGCATCGAAGTGGAGTCGGGTCGGCTCATTTCCGTGCCTGCTCCTCCAGCCGAGGGCGCTCTTCCTGAGCGTTTTCCGCATCCGCCTCATGATATGCACCCCCCCGCTTGCTGCCCCCTCGTTAGCAAGCGCCCGACGAGGCCGGCCTGGCCCGCAGCCAGCCGTCGCTCGAGGACCTGCAGCGCGTGCGTGGCAAGGACATGCTCGGCGATGCGGACGCGAGCTGCACCGCCGCCTCCCTCTCGCAGCGGAGCGAGGACGAGCGGAGCTTCAACACGAAGGAGCTGCGGGACTACTACGAGGACGCGTGGCTCACTGCCAGCGAGGAGAGGCTCAGAGGAGAAAGAAGGACCCATACCGCTGCCCTTCCCTCGTTTTCCCCGTCTTGGGCCTCCTGGGAGGCCCTCGCCGACACCACACCAGTGGATTCGCTTCGAAATTCTAGTCAGAACGTACCCCGGGAGAGGTTCGGGGAGTAGCGGTATCGGTGCCTCTTGGTTTCCCCAAGAGGCGCTACCGCACCAGCGCCACGACGTTTTGCGCCATGGCCTGGCTGGTGCTGTGCTTCCGCTGCTGGTGCCTCTACATCGACGGCACCGCGAGCTGCCACGGCAGCATCAGGTGGCACTGGCGCCTGGGGGAGCTTGCCGGTCTGCTGGCCGTGCTAGCGGCGGTGCACTGCATGCGCAAGCGGCCCTACGTCGCGGCGTACTGGGCCGTGCTCCTCTCTTTCGCCATGTACGTCCCGGCGTCGACGGTACCGCCGCTGGAGTTGTCGTGCACCGAGCTGGTGTCGCGGTGCGCTGGGACCTCGGACCCGTACATGAAGCAGGTCGTGAAGCACCTCGACTGTTCGTTGCAGGGCCAGTCGGCGGAGATGCTCTTCATGACAGTGATATTGCTGTTCCCCTGGCTGGTTCCCGAGCTGGCCATGATGCCCGTCGCCTGTGCCGTGGTGCTCACGATCTACTTGTCCTGGACGGCCGCCTTTGAGCACTTCATGGCCGAGGATGTATTCGGCATGTCCCAGGTGGTGATTCGCACCTCCATCTTGTGCGTCGCATTCTCGACGACCTGCGTCTGGAAGTTCTTCAAACAGAAAACCGAACAGCACATGTTCCTGTGCAACTTGGAGCGGAAGGAGTCGAGCATGGTCTTGTACTACATCCTCCGCAACATGCTGCCGGCGCATGTCTTGCTGCCCGTTCTCAAGCGCGAGCCAGTGGCGGACAAGGTGCCTTGGGCGACAATTATGTTCGTCTTGATGGAGGACTTCCAGTGTCTGACCCGCAACACCCTCCAGCCGAGCCAGCTCCTGCGCTTTCTGAACCAGGTCTTCAGCGACTTCGACAGCATCTGCGAGTGCTACGACGTCACGAAGATCGAGTCCGTCGGCGAGGAGTACGTCTGCGCCGTCGGCCTGGGAGAGGAGGAGAGCAGCAGGGCGGCCGCGCTCGCGCGGCTGTTCCTCGCCGCGGAGCGCATGTTCCTCGTGGCTGAGCGCGTCCCCAGCCTGCTGCAGGAAGACGTGCGCCTTAGGATGGGCATGCACACGGGCCCGCTTGTCGCTGGCGTCATCGGCAACCGCCTGCCCCGGTACCGCCTCTTCGGGGACACGGTCAACACCGCGGCGCGCATGATGCAGAAGGGCCGGCCCGGGAAGCTGCAGTTCGGGGAGGAGACGCGGAGGGACCTGCCCCCGTGCGTGGTCTCGAGCCCGCGGGGCCTGGTGACCATGAAGGGCAAGGGCGACGTGATGACGTACGAGTTCGAGCGCATCGACCACAGCAAGGTCGACCGACCCCAGGACTTCCTGCAGGAATTTCGGCTCCAGGCGGCGCCCGGCAAGACCGAGCTCGTGCACGTGCTGTTCGAGGCGCAGGCGGGTCAGCTGCAGACGGGCCGGAAGGGCTTCGCCACCCTGGACATTGGTTGGTGCGTTCCGGTGTGGTCGAATGTCGGCTCCCAGTCGGGCGCCTCGTCAAGCCTCAGCAGCGACGAGGAGGGCTCTGATGGGTCGGACGCTAGCACCCAGGACGACGGGGCCGTGGCTACTGCACCTTTTACTGCATACCAGAAGGGAATCACGGCGTCCCATGACATGAGAAACTTCGACCGCGTCATCCAACAGTTAACCGAGAAGGAGTCATCCGCGATGAGAGCAGCCATGCGCGGCCGTCTCTTCCTCAGCGAGAAGAGCGAGTTCACAGAGCAAATGGAGCGTGATTTTCAGAAGTGGGATCGTGACAATGCTATTCTCAAGAAGGTAGGCCGACGAATGGCCACGCACATTGCGCTTTTCGTTGTGTACACGGCAGCAGAGATCTCCGCCATCCTTCTCCACACGCACAAAGTGTCTTTGGAATGTTGGCATGGGTTGACGTGTTGGCCCCTCTTTCTGTTTTTGAGAAGCTGCGCTTTGTCTATAATGTTCTGGCTGGTGGTCAAAGCTAGTCGTGGCCTCTTGGTGAGCGTCGAGCACCCTCAGCTCGTGCTGTTCATGTCGTACGTCGCCATCGACCTTCTGATTGCTGCGTCGTACCAGGTTCTGGTCTCCTGCTTCGAAGAGGAAGCCGACGTCATAGATGACGAGACGGCTTTCAAGAAGGCGTACTCCGCGGAAGAGGTATTCTCTATAGTGTTCGTGTTGGTACACTTGGTCGTCATGAACGCTCACTCCTTCAATTTTTCGTTCTCCGTTGGATGGATGTGTGTCACTGTCTTTGTTGCCACTTGCATTTGTTTGTGGAATACTGCCGCGTTCTACACATACGGCATGGCCTTCTTTTTCATTGTCAACTCTGTACTGAACACAGTCGCGGCACACGACAAGGAGCAGGGCAAACGCAGATATTTCAAGGCGCAGCACCACACCGAGAACACCAGCAGGCGCGTGGGCGAAATCCTCGAGACGCTGCTGCCCCCGCTCATCATCAGGGAGGTCCAGGAGGGCGCAGCCCAGTATGGCGACGCTGCCACTCGGAGAAATGCCGTCCGAAACCAGCCGTCCCACTTCTACGAGAGCGCGACGGTGGCGCAGAGCGACCTGGTGGGCTTCACCGCGCTGGCGGGCAGGCGCACCCCCGCGGAGGTGGTCACCATGCTGGAGGAGATCTTCGGGCGCTTCGACAGCATCGCGGATGAGCTCGGTGTCTGGAAGATTGAGACGGTCGGCGACGCGTACATCGCCGCGCAGGCCGGCGCGCCGCTGACCAGGATGCGCTCACCTTCCGCGGTGGTGCGCTTCGGGGCGGAGATGGTGCTGGCGGTGCAGCAGTGGTCGGAAAAGAACAGCGTGGTGGTCACCTGCCGCGTCGGCGTCCACCACGGCGAGTGCATCGGCGGAATCGTGGGCGTGCAGATGCAGCGGTACCACCTCTTCGGCGACCTGATTACCGAGGTCGGGGTGCTGGAGAGCACCGCTCCAGAGAACGTCGTCCAGGTCAGCGGTGCCTGTCGGAAGGCCGTCGTGGACGAGCACGCTCTGCCGCGCACGCCCGCCGAGGAGCCCCTCCCCCCCGTGCTCGCGGCGCTGTCCCAGACTCCGCGCTCCGAGTCCGAGCCCGTGCTGCGGACACGGGAGTCGAAGAAGGAACAAACATGCAGACACGCTGCTCGGGCTCCGGGCGGATTTCTTGGACCGGCGCTGGGTCCCTGGCGCGCGCGCGGAGCGATCCAGGGGCGGCGCCAGAGGCGCCACCGGGGAGGAGGGACCAGCGCCAAGCCAAGAAATCCGCGCGGAGCTCCGAAAGGCTATGTTTCCAGGGAGTTGTGTCCAATACAGTGCTTATGTTGTTGTTTAGGTGATGTCCATGTCCAAGATCCGAATCCAAATAGCTTTTTGTTACCCTAGGGAGTCGCAAGCTGCACCCCAGCACCCGCCCTGGGCCAAGCCAGGCCTGGTCCCAGGGTGGGTTCTGGCCCGCGATCCGGAGGTTCCTAAGAGGTCCTCGGAGGTCTGAAGAGGGCTCCGGATGTCTCCTGGAGGCCTCCTGGGCGACCTCCGCGGAGGCCCTTTGGCGGCCCAGAGGGTGGCCAACGACGCTCAAGATTTTCATCCTTCGGGCGCGCCAGCCTCTCTTTTATCATCGTTCGCGCTGGCGGGCGCCTGCGCGTGGGTCGAGACCCGCAAGGCGCGGGCGCAGGGCGCACGAGACGAGAGGAACAGCAGAGACCGGCCGCGAAGGAGGGAGGAGGAGACCCGACCGTCGAGAGTCGACGGGCGAGGCGCGCGCAGGCGGCCTCGGGCACCGAGGACGGTGCGCAACAAGCAGCGGAGCAGCGGCAGAGGACCAGACCGTCGAACTGGGCTGGGGCTAGGTCGTGTTATTCGTTTTTGTTTTGTTTTCGTTGTCCTTCGTTCCGTCTTCCTTCTGCCCTTGCTGCGGAACGAAAGAAAAACGATAACGGTCCACGAAATCGCCAACACACCTTCTAACTCGATCCCTGCTGTCGAAGTAATAGAATGAAACCTGTAGTGAGGGTGCGGACACGTTTCGAGCGGGGCGCGGCCACGAAAGTGGCCAAAGATGAGCAGACGGGGGAGGACGCAAGGGAACCTTGGAAAACCGAACATCCTCACTATCAGTGTCGACTGTAGCGGAGCAGCCAGAGGACCATGCCTTCGAAGTAGCAGCGGCGCTGGCGAGGCGTCACTCTAAGCCTCTCCTTCTGGGATCCCTGGGCCAGGTTTCATTCTATTACTTCGACAGCAGGGATCGAGTTAGAAGGTGTGTTGGCGATTTCGTGGACCGTTATCGTTTTTCTTTCGTTCCGCAGCAAGGGCAGAAGGAAGACGGAACGAAGGACAACGAAAACAAAACAAAAACGAATAACACGATCTAGCCCCAGCCCAGTTCGACGGTCTGGTCCTCTGCCGCTGCTCCGCTGCTTGTTGCGCACCGTCCTCGGTGCCCGAGGCCGCCTGCGCGCGCCTCGCCCGTCGACTCTCGACGGTCGGGTCTCCTCCTCCCTCCTTCGCGGCCGGTCTCTGCTGTTCCTCTCGTCTCGTGCGCCCTGCGCCCGCGCCTTGCGGGTCTCGACCCACGCGCAGGCGCCCGCCAGCGCGAACGATGATAAAAGAGAGGCTGGCGCGGGCCAACTGGGGCCCCCGATCGCCCAGACGGGAACGGGGCGGGCCCTCCCCGAAGGCCCAGGAGGCCCCTGGCCCTTTGATGAGCTTCCGGGGCCTTCTCCGCAGCCCCGCCGTCCTCTGAGAAAGCCTGCCCCCTCTCGCCTCCCCCATCCCATGCCCCCGGAGTTGTGTTTTTTCATTGATGGTCCGTCATCACGCGATGGGGTGGGGGGCTCCCGGCGCGCCGCCGAATGGCGTCAAAGGCCTGCCCCCTCCAAGGTCCTCGTCGTTTACACTTCGGGCGAGAGTTGGGGTTCCCCGCTGCCGTTCGGGAGGGTCCGGGCGCCCCCAGAACGCTCGCGGCGAGGCGTAGCTCTGGACGCCCGAAATGGGCACGGAAAGAATGGGTACAATGCCCAACAGCAGTTCCTGTTCAGTTTGGACGGCATTCGCTGTCCACACCGCCGCGGCCTGTGTCCGTTCGAGACAGAAGGCCGCCTGCCCAACAGCGGCCGCTGTTGTTTTGGGACAACATATGTTGTTGGGCGTTGTACCCATTCTTTCGGTACCCATTTCGGGTGTCCAAAGTAGCTGCTTGAACGCGCCCTGAGGCTGGAAGACCTCCGAGACCCAGGAAGACACCCGAAAAATTGGGAAAGCCTCGAGCCTGACATGTTCCTCCCCTGGGCGTGCCGCCGGAGGACGTCCAAAGGTCCGAGGGATCGCGCGGGGCGTGCTCCTGCCGCCCGGCGGGCGGCCCCACAGACTTCGGGGGGGGGCCACGCCACGAAACAACACACGACTCCGCCGGGGGCATGGGGGGGGGGAGGAGGCGAGAACCTTCCCGGAGGGCGGGGGGGCTTCGTCGCAGAAGGCCGACGCTTCTCGGCGGCCCATGGGCCTCCCGAGCCTCCCGGGGCGGTGTGGCCGGCCCCCCCATCGAGTTGTCCCTCCCCCCGCCCGGCGCGCTGCCCGAGGACGTCCAAGGGCGAGGAGTACTCCTACGGCTCGGCGGGCGGCCCCACCTACCTGCTCGGGGGCCCCGCGGCGTTCCTGGCGCTCTGCGCCCCGCGGGCGGGCGGGCGCCCTGCCTCCGCGCCGTGAGGCGCCCCGGGGCACCCCGGTGCCGACGATGAGGTCGGGTGCGTCCATCCCTCGTCCGCGTCCTCCCCCCGCTGTTGCAAGAGCCGCCTCCCCAGCGCGGGGTCTTCGCGCCGAGTCGACTCACGAGGACCTGGAGCCCGCTCTGCGCTCCTCCTCCTCCTCCTGCGCGTCCTCCTCCTGCTCCTGCTCCTCCTCCTGGACGGCGGCCCTGCTTGGGTACCCGCCTCCGCACTGGCGATACCCCTGGCAGGATGCAGTGCACGGGATCTCCGCCCGCTCAGGAGTCCCAGGAGCTGCGCAGCACTGCCGATAGGAATTGCATGTAGTAGCACCTTTTGGAGGAGAGCCGGTCGAGATTACGGCGGACGGCGGCCCCGTCCCGGCAATCTTCGTGTACTCCTCGCTAGTACTCCTCGCCATGTGAAAGATATCATTAGAGCACTTCTGGTGATGGGGCTATCAGGTCCCCACCATTTGCTTAGGCGGATCCAAGTAATTGCCCATTTCGCTCACCCATTGGAGGCTGGATGTGCCGTCTCAGGGGAGCGATGCGCGGACCTCACTCACTTTGCTTCTGAGGTGAGCATCCTGCACTTAGGCTTGCCTTGGTGCCTACAGACCGTGCGTTATAGACGTTGGAGCTTTAGCTCTGCTTGGGAGGGAGGGAGGGGGGGGGGGACGTGATTACGTGACGAATTATGTGCTCGGCACCTCCCCCCACCCTGCCAGGGAGGGAGGGGGGGGAGACGTAATTACCTGACGAATTACGTGCTCGGCACCTGCCCCCACCCTGCCAGCTCCCAGGAGAGGGGGCGGGGGACAGGAGAGAGGGGGGGGGGGGAGAGTGGGGGGGAGGGACAGGAGAGAGTGGGAGGTGGGAGGGACCAGCTAGGTGCGCTCGCGTCATATCTGACATCCTACCCCTCCCTCCCATCCCTTACCATGGCGTAGATCCCCTCTCTACTCGCGCAGTCGGATGTCGAGCAGGGCAATGATCCCGAAAGGGTACGCGATGCATTGTAGATCACGGCATGGCATGGCGTAGAAGAGCACCGCAAAGCGTAGTATGTTATAACTTGGCGTGGCGTGGCGTGGCGTAGTGAAGAATTCTTTACGCTTCGCGTATCCCCACCAGCCCATCTCACAGCAGCAACTCTTGCGAAGCATGCCGACAGTCGTGTTTGTCAGGCGTGTGTCCGCTTGGCCCCGCATATCTCCCCTGTTCCTCCTTCCTCCCGCCTCCTTGTACATCCTCCTTGTGGGGGGAGCGGGAGAAGGACGAGGCGGAGGAGGAGGGAGAGAAAGCGCTCCTCGTGATTTGAGTCGTTTGGGGTTTCTCGTCCTGGTGTGAGTCGTTCGGGCCCTTCTTCCTGGTGTGAGTCGTTCGGGCTCTTCGTGGTGTGAGTCGTTCGGGCTCTTCGTCCTGGTGTGAGTCGTTCGGGCTTCTCGTGGTGTGAGTTGTCCGGGCCCCTCATCCTGGTGTGAGTCGTTCGGGCCCCTCCTCCTGGTGTGACTCGTTCGGGCTCCTCGTCGTGTGTGAGTCGTTCGGGCTCCTCGTGGTGTGAGTCATTCGGGCCCGTCGTCCTGGTGTGCGTCGTTCGGGCCCCTCCTTGTGTGTGAGTCGTTCGGGCTCCTCGTGGTGAGAGGTGTTCGGGCCCCTCGTCCTGGTGTGAGTCGTTGGGGCGTCTCCTTGTGTGTGAGTCGTTTGGGCTCCTCGTTGTGTGAGTCGTTGGGGCCCCTCGTCCTGGGGTGAGTCGTTCGGTCTCCTCGTGGGGCCTCTTGGAAGCCTCTTGGAGGCTCTCGGGGCCTCTTGGGGGCCTCTTGGACGTCTCGTGGGGGCCTCTTGGGGGCCTCTTGACGCGTCTTGGGGCTTCTTGGGGGCCTCGTGGGGGCCTGTTGGGAACCTTCTGGGGGTCTCTTGGGGCCTCTTGGGGGCCTCTTGGGGGCCTCGTCCTTCCTTGTGTGAGTGCCTCAGAGCCCTCTTTGTGTGTGAGTCGTTCGGGCTCCTCGTGGTGTGAGTCGTTCGGGCCCCTCGTCCTGGTGTGCGTCGTTCGGGCCCCTCCTTGTGTGTGAGTCGTTCGGGCTCCTCATGGTGTGAGTCGTTCGGGCCCCTCGTCCTGGTGTGAGTCGTGCGGGCGCCTCCTTGCGTGCGAGTCGTTCGGGCTCCCGTGGTGTGAGTCGTTCGGGCGCTCGTCCTGGTGTGAGTCGTTCGGGCCCCTCCTGGTGGTGTGAGTCGTTCGGGCTCTTAGTCGTTCGGGCCCCTGGTGGTGTGAAACGTTGGGGCCCCTCGTCCTGGTGTGAGTCGTGCGGGCGCCTCCTTGCGTGTGAGTCGTTCGGGCCCCTCCTTCTGTGTGAGTCGTTCGGGCTCCTCGTGGTGTGAGTCGTTGGGGCCCCTCGTCCTGGGGTGAGTCGTTCGGCTCTTCGTGTTGTGAGTCGTTGGGCCTCCTTCGTCCTGGTGTATCGTTCGGCATCCTCTTGGGGCCGGCTTGGGGACCTCTTGGGGACCTCTTGGGCCTATTGGGGGCCTCGTTGGGGCCTCTTGGGGGCCTCTTGGGGGCCTCTTGGGGGCCTCTTGGGGCCTCCTGGGGGCCTCTTGGGGGCCTCTTGGAGGCCTCTTGGGAGCCTCCTGGGGGCCTCTCGGGGCCATCTTGGAGGCCTCTTGGGAGCCTCCTGGGGGCCTCTTGGGGCCATCTTGGGGCCTCTTGCGACCTCCTCAGAAGCGCAAATGAGCGCTGGCCCCAGAGAAAGACAAAATGAGCCCAAAACCTTCGTAAAATCAATGATTTTGCTATGAAGGACGATGAGCGCTGCCCCCTCAGAAGCCCAAAATGGGGCCAAAACCATAGTAAAATCAACGATTTTGGCTTCCAAGAAGAGCAGAGGGGCCAAACTGTATCCCCCCGACGGGGCCAGAATCCTCGTGAGGGTCGTCGTTTTTTGGCCCT